GTGTTTCCGAAGTAACAAAGATGCGACGGATGGCCTGGATTGCAGCCATTCAAAGATCAAATATAACGTCCCAGAACACTCCAGCTCACATGTTAGTCTGCTCCAAGCATTTACACGAAGGTCAGTGTTTTTTAGTAGTTAATACGTCATCTTCATAACATAATTGGTGATATAGGTTACAAGCAAGTCTGGCGCTGAACAGAAATTGTCGCGCTATGCTCCTTTATTTATTGTGCATAAATAGTGAATTGTCCTGACACAATATTGCGTTTCGCTTCTGTTATTATGGTACATTGACAAAAACATATGCTTTTATTCACAGGATAAAACAGGTTTTTTGTATCACTAATTGCCCAGTACGATTACAGCATACAATATTGTTGTCACTGCTACATTTCTGTGATGCTACCAGAAATTATTTCCACTACTAATTAATTACCGTTGAGCTCAAAGGTCCTATTAATAAACGGTTAAGGAATGTGTATTTATGACGACGATTTGTGAGACTGGTAAACTTATGATACGATGGTCTTTCGTTCGACACGGTGCGTTTCAAGGTCCTGCACCCATCCGTCGGTAAACTGTACCTGGGCTTGTTGCAGTGACCGGAAGTTACTAAACTTCATGAGTGTATGCACTCACTCCAAGAACCGTATGATTATAAATATGCATATAAATATGCTAAGATGAGATAGCTGACTTCATCTAACTAGCAAATGTTGTCCAGGCTACGTTGGTGATACAGTTTTTTTTTATGTGTATGATATTTTTGTCATGCGATTTTAAAGCCGGTCCTACAACCGCATCCAAGAATAACATGCAGCTTATCTCAGAACTGTCGGTGAAAATTATTCTTGGAGCTAGGTTTAATTGAGCTGCATTTTAAAGAGGTGCAATTTCACAATTTGTGTATATTTTCTAAGTTCACTATTTTGTCATGTGTTGAGAAAAACACAGATTTTAAAATTACATGGTCTAATATTTACATTTAGCATATAACTGCAACATTATTTTTTCGTTTTTTTTTTTTTAAAGACTCGAAAGGACTTGAAATTCAAAGTTTCAGACTTGTGACTTGACTCGGACTTTTACACCAGTGACTTGAGACTCGACTCTGACTTGCCTGACATTACTTGAGACTTGACTTGAGACTTGAGGATAAAGACTTGAGACTTACTTGAGACTTGCAAAACAATGACTTGGTCCCACCTCTGCACATACCATATAAAGACTGAATGCACTGTATGCTGACATGTGAAATTCACTTTGTCATAAACCATTACTAGCATCACATCACGTCTCATCTTTGCCTGCTAGCTTTGTTTGGTAGAAGCTTTATCACCAAAAAATAATTACCCTCACAAGCGTTTGCTGTTGGGTCATTGAGGTAACTCTACATTTGAAGTCTAAAAAAATACATATATTAGATGGGTTCAAACTGACATAGAGGTTTAACTGCAGAGATAAAAAATATTAGCAAGCAAGACAACATACTTTTATTTCCCTCCTGTCATTGATGTGATCAACCAGTAGGCCACCTCTGCTACCTCGCAGTCATAAACTGCTGGTGCACTCTAATCACCAGCACACAAAATCACTACCAAACACAGAAGCTGTTCATAACCCTGCACTTTTTAATGCAAGAGTTAAAACTATAACTAAAAATACTTCCCTTTTAGTTTTAAGCTGAGCTTCATTGATGTAAAGTCCCCCACAAACATGAACTCTTTTATAGTTCAGTTGTAGTTTTTCATAAATTCATCCACAGGAAATGAGTTAGCTGAAGCAAAACAGAAATTGAGTCCTTAACCAGAAGTGAACACGAGGTGAATTCCTGCCCACTCTCTCAGCTTATCTCTGTGCCCATAAAAGTAGCTGTAACTGTTGTAATCCTGAAGATTTTTTGATTTGTTTTGTTTTGTTTTTTAGCACTTAGTAACCACTGGGCTACCAGTTCAAAAGGTTCAAAGGGAAATGCTGCTGAAATTAAAAAAAAAAAAAAAACTTTCTGGCTAAATTTAAAACAGGAAGCTGTTCAAACTACAGGACATGATTATTTAGTTATAAAGCACACTGAAGCACAGTGAGCTACAAATACAGAACACTTTTATTGAAATCCAAAACCCATTTGATTAAAATACCATGTGTCTCTTCTATAAACTGTTTGCACTGAGAACAATTGGAATAAATTCAGATTTTACAGCCGTTTTGCTGACCACATACAAGATTCTGTCAGTCTTATATTTGCAGAGCAGAGCTGCAAACACAGCTGCTGTACAAATACTATATTTGTGCTTCTTGTGATTTTCTGACTCACATCTCTTTATACATATTTAACTGCTGCTCAACAAAGTGACAGAGATGTAAATGTGTCAAGCTAGACTTGTCAGTCAGTTTGTCCCCACATCACTGTGTACCCACATTTTAAATGTTTTATTGTAGACTTCGTGGGATGAACAGATGAAAAGGAAGAAGAAAAAGTGTAAGAAAGGATAGAAACACATTAGAGAACCCAGCTTTGCTGTGTGGCCCCCAGTTAATCTTATTCCTTTCCTAAGAAATTAACAAGTACTAAGATTCCAAATGATTTACTGCCATTCATGAACAGGAAAATGTGTTTTTAGTTGTTAGATGTTATACCTGATTACTTTCTGACCTTTCAAAGATGGCTAGCATGCCCAAGTGTCCACAAAATATAATGAACAGAAACGGTGACAAAGGGCAGCCCTGGCGGGGTCCAACACCCACTGGAAACAAGCCTGACTTATTGCTGATTATGCAGGCAAAGCTTTTGCAATGGGTGTATAAGGATCGAATGGTTCACATCAATGGGCCAGTACTCCCAAAGCACCTCCCACATAACACACTGAGGAACACGGTCGAATGCCTTCTCCAAGTCCACAAAATACATGTAGACTGGTTGGCTAGGCTTGATAGGGTAAAGAGCTGATCCGCTGTTCCGCGACCGGGATGAAAACTGCATTGATGTGTTAGTGGGACTAAGGAAGTCCTCGAAGAATTACATCCACCGCCCAACAATATCCTCAGTTAAAGTCATCAATGCTCCACCTGCACTGTGTGCCTCCCACACCCAAGTTTTGCTTCAGCCAAGCTGTGTTCCACTTGGTCTGTCCATATCTATCATCTGCCTCTGATGTTCCACAGGCTTGAGGGTATAGAGTATGTATGGGGAGTGTGTGTGTACTGTGTTCATTTCTGTGTGTCTCCATGTGTGTGCGAGTATTTGCATATGTGTGCATGAGGGTGGGAATGCACGTTTGTGACTGTGTGTGGCTGTTTGTCTGTGTGTCAGCTCAGATCTTAGACCACCTCTCTCAGAACATCACCTGCTGATGCATTGGTCGTTCTCAGTGTCCAGGGCTGGGTCCTTTTAGTTTCTTTTTATTTTGTTTTCCTGTGGACGCTTTCAGATGGTTTTAATTACTTGTGTCACAAACTAAATTATATCTTAATGTTAGTTGTTTTGGGGACTTAATGACCTTAATCAGATCTGTGTCTTTTTACACAGCTGATATAAAGCTGTGCATAATCTGTGTCAAAATTTACCACATCACCATCTTGTGCTTTTACATTGAGTTTCAATAATTCCTGGCAATGGTTCTCTTGGCTTAACTGCCACAGCAAAATCTAAAACATACAGCTCTGCTATCACTTTTAACATAAATGAAGACAGAAAACTAAACAGCAGTGGTGTTTGTAGGGTTACTGAAGTTGGGCTATGTAGTGGCTAGCGACACAGCTATGTTAGCATAATATAAACAGTGAAACTGGAGGGTGAACGCTAACATTTTTCCATTCGATGAAAGTTAACGTGATGGTTCCCGAAGGTTAGGGACAAATGCAATCGCATGGCAGGATGCTATAACGGACAAAACTTCAGTCAGGAGGACAACTGAGATAATCCATCCAGATTACAAGGTTACTCATTCATATACTGCTGCATGGGCTGGGCTGCAGTTACATCGTAAGGTTTAAAAAAATCTGCTTTAAAATGTATAGCTGTAATGAAAACCGAGAGAGGTCGACAATGCTCAAATAGAACAAGATACAAAACATTAAAACATGTTAAATACACAAAGCCTTAATAAATGCAGATTAGTTTTGACCTGGAAGCAGGGTTCATACGTCATCACTTAAAGACCGGATATCCCACCTGTTGTGAATGTTTTAATGCAGTACAGTTCTTCGTCTTATTATTACTTTTCCCATCCTGTTTATGACAGTTAAAATAAACATATTCATATAACAAATACATTTGTCTCATGTAAACTGTATATGGTGTTAAATAGGCCTATACTACTGTGCTTTAATGTTGGTCATAAGGGTGGTACTTCAAGAGCCATATATTTTATGAGGGTGTACTCAGTGTGAAAAGTTTGAGAACCACTGGTCTAATATAAAATATTTGCCAAATCAAACATATGCATCATAAATAATGTGATTTCCATGTTACATAGGTTGGGGCCTCCTCTGGTGCTGCAAGACAACAAGGTGCCAGTAGAAACTGTGCTACTGTTTTCCATAGACAAAGGAAGGGGAGAGAGAGGTGGTGTGTTGAGGACAGCAAGAGAGGAAAGACAAGAGTTTGGAGAAGAAAGTAGGAACTTTAAATGGAACTCTGACTTTTAAAGGAAGACAGCAAGGAGATATGATGGAGGAAGGTAGATATGTTGTACCCCAAGAGGACCACCTGTGTGAGTCAACACACAGCCGAGCACCTGGCTTGAGAAAATACTTCACATCTTGTGTCGTAATCTAATGAGTCAAATCAAACACAAAGCATAAATATAAGCTCAAGTACTTAAGTCACCAAGACTGAAACAAAACATGGTTGGAAATACAGAAATTTTTAAAATTTTACTGTGATAGAGCGACTAGTGCAAGAAATGGAGCTTCCTACAACAACAGTTAAGTAATTTAATATTTATTATTTTAGTAGAAACGCGATTACAATAATGAGAAAATGGGATACAGTTCAATGTGAAAAACTACTTAATACACTTTATACTTATATACAATATTTTCATCATAAAAACACTTCTACAAAATTCAAACTTCCTCATGTTTATATGTTTCGTATATATTTACACACAGAATTACTCATCATGATACTCATGAGCATGTTTATACTGGTGATCATGTGACATGGTCACCAGTACAATTATGATACTTAGGAGCTTAGTATTGTTAGAGTTGGAAGTGTCTTGGTAATTTCCCTTTAGTTTGATATTAAACTCTGAATTATACTGTAAACATTTATACAATTACAATAATAATTATTACAATAACAATTAATTTATTAATTGATCATTTACAAATAAATAGTCGTGCAGTCTTGCAAACCTTCCCTATCAATCTCGCTGCTGTCCATATGTCACAAATCACCCCTGCCCACTCTTTACCCACCCTTGCTGCACTCTCTTTGGGGCTCTCAGTTGAACTTATCCACCTTCACTTCCTCTACTCCTACTCCAGCTTCACTGTTAAACTGTCTCTTATCCATACACATGTGTTCTGTCTTGCTTCTACTGAATTTCATTCCTCTTCTTTCCGATGCATGCGTCCTCCTCTCCAGCCTCTCTTCCACCTGCTCCCTACTCTCACTACACATCACAATGTTTTCTGCAAACAACATAATCCACAGAGACTCCTGCATGACCTCATCTGTCATCTTGTCCATCACTACTGCAAACAAGAAGGGCCTCAGAGCTGATTCCTGATGTAATCTCACCCCCAGCTTGAACTGCTAAGATACAACCACACACCTCACTGCTGTCTCACTGTCCTCATACATGTCCTGCACCACCTTCACATACTCTTCTGCTACTCCTGACATCCTCACGCAGTACCCCACACGCTTGGCACCATATCCTTTCTCTAGATCCACAAAGACACAGTGAAGCTCCCTCTGACCTTCCTTATATTTCTTTCTCAGCATGAAGCCATATGCTGCCATATCACTGACATAATATTTTTTTTATGTTTTTGTTTGTTTTTTCATGTTGCTGTTGACCTTCTCTTGTTTTATTGATGCCGTGCCTCCCTTTAGGGACCTTCAAATGTAAATAAATAAAATGAAATAAATGAAAACAGAATAAAGTAAAACTAACTAAAGAGCAGGTTTGATGTTTGATGGTTTGATACTGAAGGCGTGTTTTTAAAAGGGCTACAAATGAGTTTCTTATTATTATTAGGACATCTAATTAAAGCTCCCTTGACGTTAACACACATGTAGCCCAACACACATATGTGATACATATTTCATCCCTGAAACTAAATATTTGGTACATTTAATATTTGTACCTGTAGCTGAGTTTGGATCTACATTATGGTAGTCAGAAGTTTCCTCTGGATCATCACGCTTTCCTGTATATTAACACGGAAAATATATGTGGGTATCATGACTCTGAAGGGCCTTTAAAATTTAAATGGTACAGTATACAAATGATATTTTATTCACTGAAACTTAAATGTTACATATATTTAGAGGTATGATTTCAGAAGTGCACATGCTTTTGGCTGCATGATGTATTTACATTTATAATTCAAAATCTGTTTTGTATTTTCATATTTTTTGTACTCACTCCTCTGTTCGACACTTCTGAGCTGAAGACAGATATTTCTGTAGTCATCTGTCCGTCCACCTAAAATGAGGACAATTGTACTATTTTACATTTTTATTTCTCAGTAGAAATACGATTTCAATCTAATCTTTAATAAATAAATAAAAAAGACATATCTTATACTGTACCAGTGTTTTCAGAAGGTCTACATGACTCATAGACGTTCATGTCACCTTTGGGTCAGTGAGAATCAAGACAATGACAAAATAATCACTCTGTGTGCAGTAAACTTACAGCTATATTATAACTGTGAACATGAGTATAGAAAGGTTCAGCTGTAAATGCTCTTATTTTGTAACAGGTGTGTGGCTGACCGTGAAGAAGGGAGGAATACATTTGCTGCTGATTTTCATCCTGGCTCATAGTTTGAACTGTAGCAGCAGCCTGACTGGTTTCCTGAGACTGGGCTGGTCTGAGGTTTTAAGCAGGTTCAAATTACAATGAATGTGTTACATAGTGTTTGTTTACTGGAGACAAGACAAGAAAGTGTTTTACCAACCTGATACAAAGTGCACCTATGGAGAAGACAGTAATAATCATATTAAATGGGTGAGTATTACAAATAAACACAATAATTGTCCATACCATGGCAGTGTCTGGCAGTTAATATATGAAATAAAAATAAATAAATAAATAAAAAATTCACCCTTTGATTTTTTGTGCCAACAACAGAGCAGCAGGGACAGCAAGAGAATCAGTGAGATACCACTAACCAGCCCCGTGATTAGAGAGACAGAAAGTGATGATCTGGATCCTGTAATGATAAAGGGTAAAAATTAGCTTAATCTATAATGATATAACCCAATCAATGGGATACATCAAGGGCAAAGGACACTTTGAACCTGACAGGCATTTTCTGGCGTGTCTGAAGATTTCTGTAAATGTTTTGTTAAATCAGAAAGTCATCTCTTAAAACTGTGGAGATGAAAAATATTGTGAATGGTTACATAGTAACGACTGGGATGTTAAACAATCAACACTATAAAAATGGCTAAAAAGACAAACTATAAAATGCAGTTTTAGTTCAAAATAAGGGTTTGCATACTTTATATGGGCAGGACCATTTTAACCTTCTTTTAACCTTTTAATCTTCTTCATTTTCACACTTCGATTTTGTAGACTGTCACTACTGGCCGGCTGGTTTTATTTCATGAGCCTTTTGTTTAAATCTTTTGAAACAGAGACAACAGGGTATTTCTTTTCTGTCTACAACTGTATCATTCACACTTACCTTTTACTGACATCCAACTTTCTGGTGACTCATGCCCTGAATAGTCACACTTGTAGAAACCTTCATCAGACTTTGACACTGCAGGGATATTTAGCTTTTCTCGGTCATCATTTTGAATTAGTTTCCCATTTTTGTAGAATGCAACAGTGGAATTGAAGTTTCCTCTCCTCAACTTGCAGCCAAGAGCAACAGAGTCCCCTTCATTGACTGGATGGACAGGGCTCACCAGGATCACATCAGTAGCTGTAAAAGCCATTAGAATATGAGAGAACTTGCCAACATACAGTCTACTGTTTCCATCCTTGTTTGGTAAATGAAGACGGTTGCATCAACAGCTCTAATCCTGTTCTTTGTTGTGTTTTATTAGTGTTATTTTTCCTCACACTTTTAACCACAGCATGATCATTTAAGCTATAGCTGGATTTCAGATGCATTTTTGGCTACATCCTCTCATAATTATGAATACTGTCATGACACAAAGCTATTACCACACCTATAATCATGGGCTCACATTTCTGCTTCATCCTCTGCAGTGTTGGATTTATTTGTAAATAAATAAATAACTCAGAAATTAGCACAATGTGTGCAATGGCTGTACTGTGAATTTAAATCCTGTTGGTGCCACTTATGACTCTTGGTATCGTCATAATTATGTGGAAAATATATTTCAAAAATGTAGATATTGAACCATATAATGAAACATGTCAAACATTGTATAAATGCATGTTCTATTCTGCTGTATACACATTGTAATAAGATGACTTGCAGCAAGGATAGATTTTTTTTCCTCTAATGCAATATAAACTAATGTGGTACATACAGTATTCTGTTGATTGTTTGCACTTCTATGTTGCAGATTAGTCAGTGTTTCAAGGTTACTATGCCATTCAGAAATACAGGCTACAGGTCTAACATTCAAAGACGATGCCATGTGGGAACATCATTCAGTGTCTTGTTTTGGCCAAAACTCATTTGAATGAAACCAAGATAACACAGAAAATTGTTTTCTTGTTTACATTAATACAAATGTGAAATTCTTTTTAAAATACATAAATGCCACATCCACTGGACTAAAGAAAAGAAGGACCATCCACGCTGTTATTAGGGCTCAGTTCTAAAGTTTGGATCTCTGATGGTTTAAGGTGCTTTAGTGACTATGGAATATGAGTTTTGTGGCTCATCTGAAAAGGCACCATTAATGTTGAAAAGTATATAGAGATTTTAGAGCAAAATATGCTCTCATCAAGATGACTTCTTTCATGAAAGGCCTTGCATATTTGAAGAGTACAGAAGCTGAACTGGGCTGCCTGGAGTCCCAGTCTTTCACCATTTGAAAACAATTTGTGTATCACAAAATGACAAAGAAGACCCAGGATTGTTGAGCAGCTATAAGCCTCTATCAGAAAACTATGGGATAATATTGCTCTCCCAAAGTTCCAGCAACTGGTTTCTACAGTCCCCAGATGTTTATAGACTGCTGTTAAAATAAGTGGAGATGCTACACAGTGGTAAATGTGGCCCTCTCCCTTTTTTGTGATGCGTTGCTGCCACCACATTCAAAATGACTTATTTCTTGCAATTATACACTTTCTCATTTTAAAAGCTTAAACATAGACACTGTTTTCTTTCTTAATTTATAATTTACACAGCGTCCAAACTCTTTAGAATTAGGGATGTAAAGACCTACAAAGTGCAGTGATGTTGATTCCATTGCTGAACAGTCCTGATTCAGACTCACACCAGGACACAGCATCTTGGTACCGGAGGAACCAGTGACGATCTATGTTGCATGTGGATTCAGTCATTATCCCCCGGTTTCCACATTCCCGGAGTTCTCTCAGATAGCCGTCCTGAGTAAATGTCATAACTCTCCACTGAGAAGAGTTTCCAGAACAATTCAGAGATACTGAATCATAAATGAAGTGCTGCACACTGTTAGGACTGACTGTGAGAGAGGCTGCTGAATTTACATCTAGAGAAAAACAAGAACTGTCATTTTTTTCTTGAGAGATTAATAGATTGAAGACTGTGAATGCAATAATAACACTTATTTTTTTCCTTTTTAAATTAGGAGCAAAAATACTGACCTGCAGACCAGACAAACTTTGGTTGACTGTGATCAGTGTGATACTCTGGGTCTCCTCTTCCAGCTCTGCACACATATCCTGCTGTGTGTGTCTGTCCATGAATGATGTAGGAGTCCTGTGCAGTCCCACTGATGCTTCCAGGTAATAATTCATACTTGTAGAGGCGATTAATTCTATTATGATGAATCCGGTGTCTGTGTCTGGAGTAATAGTCATAGGGGTAATAGAGGTAGGGGTGATACATGCCTGACTCCTGTTTAATAAGTTTATACCAGTAGAAGCTCCATCCTGCAGACGGATGTTCAACCTCACAGTTCAGAGTTACTGAGGCTCCAGGACTCAGCCATGATGGAGACACAGTGAGGACAGGATGACGTTCTGTTGGGAAAATATATTTTCAGAGTGAGATCAAGAACAAGAACCTTAAGGGCAGATCGTCTGTTAATAAATGCAAGCATACAATTCACATTACATTTATAATTCACTCACCATAAACTATCTTTAGTTCAAAGGATGCACTCCACATTGTTGAATTCTGTTGTGCACTTCTCATTCTGCCCTTACACCAGTAGTGCCCATAGTGTGATGTAGAAACAGAGTTAATCTTGTATTCATTTTGGTTTGGAGGTTGATGTGAGCTGCTTGTTGCCCACTCATAATCCCACTCAGTGTCTCTTCCTGGGATCTCACATTTCAAAGTGATTGTCTCTCCGCTGTATACCTCAGGCCAGTTTGGATGCAGAGTCACAGCAGGCCTGTTTCTAACTGTTAAACAGATAAAAAAATAATAATAATAAAAATAAATGACTACTTTTTAACATCTTCCATTAATTAAATAAAGGGAAATTCACCATGACTCACCAGTTTTTTTAATACTGATCACATCACTGTAGTCTGTGTAGTAAACTGGGTTGCCTCGTCCTCCTCTACACCAATAGTCTCCTTCCTGTGATACACCGATTTGTCCATCAGAGTGGAGAACAACTTCTGCCATCGTCAGTGGTTCTGAGGTTTTCTTGCCTCTGTACCAGTAGTAACTCCAACCAGCTGTAGATGGTGTCACAGAGCAAGTCAGGGTGACTGTATCACCTTCTAGAAAGACTCTACTGTCAGCACTGATGCTGGCCTTTGGTCTGTTTCCTGTTTAATTTAGAAAAAAAAGTATAATAAAATTACAGTGAAACAATTACTTCCCCTTTGCTTTAGAGACAATTACAATTTTACAAGCAATTCTTAAACGATACATAGTATATCTTATGTTACGTTCACACTGCAGGTCTTAATGCTCAATTCGGATTTTTTGATCAAATCCGATTTTTTTGTCTGCTTGTTCACACTAAAGATAAAATGTGATAGCAAACGCGCTCTACGGTGAACCCTCAATGCGGCCCGCATGCGCAAAAGAAGACGTCACACACAACGCGCTCTGTTTAGACCCAGACCAAACAATATTGTTTGACTGATGGCTTTAATATAAAGACTTGTTTCAGACTTTATGTTTCCCAATTTTGCTTTAAGTTATAAAATAATTTTTGTTATTTACATATGGCCTAATAATGATCCTTATTGCTGTTTTAGAGGAGCGGTGCTTCAAAGGATAGCTGCAGATTTCTGTCAGAATCTGCAGATTATACAGTACAAATAAAATGTTCACGTTTCTCCAACGTTGTCTTCCCACCAGTTTCACTGACATCTACACGGGATGGCCAGGAGTGTCGTCTCGGGCGCTGATAATTGGCGTCTGTCTTGTGTCAGTGACGTAAAAGACGGATTTAATGCGACATGACCGTTCAAACAGCAGTCGCTTTCTAAAACATCAGATATGTATCGGATTCAGTACCACATACGCAAGAAATCCAGGTCGGATTTGAAAATATCGGATTTGTGCTGTTCAAACTGTCATACCACGATCGGATATGGGTCGCATAGGCTCAAAAAAGTCGGATTTGATGCGCTTTTGCCTGCAGTGTGAACGTAGCCTTATTCAGTAGCACTAAGCCTGTACCAAGTATGTATGTTTGCATCACATATATGAAATATTAACATTTGCAGTTATATGCTTTTATCAAATTCAGTTTATTTTTGCAGTCATCTGTTGGTAACAAATGCACTGTTATGAAAAAATTAGGACCGCACATTGAATATTCAGGTCTTAATAAGGAATATTCAAATATCAAAGTCTTTTGTTATTATTTATTTTGGTAGAAGAAACTAATTTAACAGCAGGTGGTCTAAGGAGCTTTAAGTTCCTTGAAGACGTTTCACCTCTCATCCGAGAAGCTTCTTCAGTTCTAAGGTTAAATGGCGAAGAGTCCCAGATTTAAACCCAGTGGGAGTAACCCCCAAGGTTACTAAGTTCTGACCTTAGAACTGAAGGTCAGAACTTCACTTCACATCTCATTGTGTTCACTCTCACTTCACAGGAAATAAATATGAGAGTGCCCCAAGACATTGCACTTTTTAAGAGGTACATATTGCAGATAATTCCCCAAAGTCCTTTTTAATTGTATAACTATATTACTTTGATCTCCCAGTATTGTTCAAATTTATATTAAATTGAATTGCATTCAATTCTGACGTTCTCTACCCTTTTCATCGACACTCTCAAAGCAAATATCACATCTGCAATGCTCTTCTAGCCATCACTCCATCCTGCTTGCTCACTAATTATCACCGCCCTTCTCAACTTAGCTTCAACAGCTGTTTCCCATATTTTCATGTTATGGCTCATCAGTTTCATCACTGTTACTACAGCTCTACGTTTCACACTTGATCTTGAAAATCTGCACCAATACAGTTCTCCATTCCTCAGGCTTGTGTTAAACAATGTGACTAAAAGGCCCACTGCTCTCTCTTCTGGACATCTCCATACCTCCACTGATGTGACATCAGGACCAGCTGCCTTTGTACTCTTCATCTGCTTATCAGTTGCACTCACTTCCTCCCTACTAATCCTCTGCACTTCCTAACTTTTCCCCTTCCATCTTCTCTGTCATTTTCTACATTCATGAGTTCTTCAAAGTATTCCTTCAGTCTTCTCCATCTTCTCTGTTATAACTGGAGCTTCGATGGATCTAACCTGTCTATCCGGCTCTACTGAACTTGTCAGTGGAGACTCTTCTTCCAAGGCAAATGAAGATTATGGGAATCTTCGCCCACTAAGCCACCCCACTACAATATGAGGAGAGGATATTTCATTTGACTTTTATTAATGGTAGATCATTAACAAATAAGGCTTTTCTGTTAAATGAATTCTTCACCTCACAGGATTTTATGTTTCCCACAGATGCTTGTCTTAGTGCTGGTGAGTCCAGCCTATTCTTACAACTACCTTCTCTTGTCTGTTTTCAGCTCCCTTTGCACTACTGGCAGAGGTGGGGGTTAGCAACTGTTTTCAAATCCAGTTTCCAATGTCGACATTTATACTGTGCTGTGCACTCTGATCTACCACTAAGATTTTTAAATGGAATTTGCAGAGTTTGTGGGTGGAATAACCCTGAATTATGATCACTTTAAATTGTTGGTGGTTTTAATATTCATGAGTCTAATGTCTTCATCTTGTTGAAAGATTTAACCTCACTTACTCAGTGACTTTATAAACAACAAAAATGCTCATTAAACATGCTATGACCCATTAATGAAGAATAATGATTTCATCATTATTAGTTGTAATGTTTATTATGCCATAAGGTTTTTATAAATAATAAACGATGCACCAATAGATCATTAATGCCTTACACTATGTAGTTATTATATAATGTTACGCTTGTGCCTTATATAGGCATAATAAAATGAAACTTTCTTACCAGAGACTGTCAGTGTGATGACATCACTCCACTCTGTCACAGAATACAGCTCCTGTTTGTTTTTACCCATACACCTGTAGCTTCCACTGCTGATCACAGATGCATTAAGATTTAAGTATGCATTATTTGCCATAACTGTGCTTGAGTCGGGTTTGCTCCACTCATACTCCCACTCAGTGCTTCCACCTAAAGAAATCTGACATCTAACAGTGATCTTCTCGCCACTGAATATCAGAGGCCAGCTGGGATCCAGGGACACAACTGCTTTGCTGGAAACTTTACAAAAACAAAAATCTAATTGGTCCAGTTTGAAATATTTCTGCATCCCATGTTAATCCAAATGAAAACGCTTAAACTCACCTCTTTTTTCAATAGTGCTTGGATCACTGTCCTCTGTGAAGAAAACTGGGTTTCCTCTCCCTCCCTTGCAGTAGTAGATACCTCCCTGTGTGACAGTGATCATTTGATCTGGTTCGTCGTTTCTAATCACCTGAATTTCTGAGAAGACTGAGGCACGTCTGAACCAGAAGTATTTCCACTCATTGTAGCTCCCCACAGAGCAGCTGAGTGTTGCATTGCCTCCAGCTGGTATAGTTCTTCTCTCAGCAGTGATTGTGGGTCTGGGTTTGTTTGCTGTTTGTTAGAGTAAAATAGAGATGTTTTTCTATAGCTGGTCAGATGAATAAGAGTAGATAATAAACTCAAAGGTGATTTTACTTACAGACTTTTAGTGTAAAAGCATCACTCCAAGCTGTAGAGAAGAACAAGTCTCTTCTACCCTTACACCAATATTGCCCGTTGTAGGAAAATGAAGCACTGCTGATGTTGTATTCACTGTGTGTGGGAGGTGTTTTTGAGCTTGTTGTTCTCCATTCATGCTGCCACTCAGTGTTTTCTCGTCCTTGGATCTCACATTTGATGGTGATCATCTCACCGCTGAATATCTGAGTCCAGTTCTGTTGCAGAGTCACAAAGGCCCTGTTGGACACTTTTCATACCGAAAATGAATTAATAAAGAAAAGGTTGGTCATCATAAATCTTTGTTCTTTAATTTCTTACAAAAAGTTATCAAACTCACATGTTTTCTGAATGTGATACACTTTGCTGAGACTTGTGAAGAAAACTGGGTTTCCTCTTCTTCCTCTGCACCGATAGATGCCTTCATCTGAGACATTAATGAAGTTCTGCAAAGTGTTCGTATTAATTGCTACTTCACGAGAATCTGGTACTTGTCTGAACCAATCAAAATTCCAGCCAGCAGAGCCCTGAACAGAGCAGGTCAGTGTCACCGAGCCCCCCACTGGAATAGTTGTCCTGTCTGCTGTTATAGTCGCCGTGGGTCTGAGTGCTGTTTGATTTAGAATATGTTGTTTTTGTTATTTATGCATTTTTTTTCTGGGAAAACCTCAACGTTAACAATTTCTCATAATATGTAGAATAAAAGGCTGAAGTAATTCATCAAGGCAGCATCTCATGTGACCAGTTCTTCTCACGTCTCTCATACATCATACTATATATAACATACACTATGCTAAAGTTCACACTGCTTCCTAATTTGGTGTCATCTTCACCAGTTTTCACAACGCTCAGCTGAAAGTTACATCGTACTTGACATATTTACTTCCTGCTACATTTTCAGCCTTCACAGGTCGACTCTGAGTTTGTAACCTAGCAGGAAATGTCTGCTTAATGTCACTGTCCACTCCCTGCTGTGCAGAGATCATTACATCAACAAGAATAAAAGAAAAATACTAAACAGAAACTTTGGAATAACATAAACTGAAACTCTGATGCTGGATTTAACACAGCTGTGCTACTGGAGAATGAAAGTCTAATAAATATGATACAGTAGCTTACCTGATATGGACAGAGTCAGGTTATTACTCTGTTTTGTAAAATCTTTCAAGCCATTGCGATGACCAATACATTGATAATTCCCACTCAGCTCTGCTGTCAGGTAAAGTGAGTAGGAGCTACTTTTACTGAATTGGACCATTTCTTGATCATTCCAGTTGAATTTGTAAAGCCAGTCAGTGGCATTTCCCTCTCTCATGTCACAGATGAAGGTTACAGACTCTCCAGCAAATAAATGGGACACGTTTGGTTTAAGGCTCAGCTCAGCATCTAAAATCCAACATGAACATAAACACACAGAAAAAGTTCAGACCAGATTTTGTCTTAATGCAGAGGAAGATTTCTCACTTTACAAGCAATTATTAATGTATTTTTAATATAATTTGCAAAAATGAAGAAAAAACAAGAATGTTATTCACACATCAATCCATAGAAAAATAAAAAAGGAAGAAAGCTGTTCACTTACCTTGAGCGTCTCCACAGCAGAGGGTAATATTCAGCACTGTAACATATCATTCAATCATCAGTGGTCACATGTCGCAAATAAAAGCCTTTTTAATGAATAGAATTTTACCAGTAGTATCAATAGTTGGACAAACATTTAGCACTCAATATAGTTCCGTCTTTATCGGTCAAATAAAGGAAGTTTCTTATACTCACAGAATAAGGACAGCACGCTGAGCACAGTGAGCCCCATCCTCACAATGAGCCTGAAAGTCTGTCACTGCTACTGACAACAGAAACACTGAAACAGAAGTGAGAAACAGAGAATGTGAGAAAATAGTAATGTTTCATCTGATTATGGGAGTAGAGGCTTTCTGCAACCTCGTTTTATGTGTTCAGCCCTTCACTGCTACTTCTCTTTTAGCCCTACATGAGGACACTGATGACAGATCTTATTTTTAACTGTTGACACTTCCTGTTTTACTGTGGACAGTATGCAGAGCTGACATTATATATGATCCCTGCTTCTGAAAGTAAATTGTAACTGCTCAGATAATAATGTTTGGGAAAGTGATTTGTCGTAGTGTTTTAAGATTATAAGAGTGTCACCAACGGTTTAATTTAAAAACAAATTTAAAGAAAAAAAAATGGAACAATTTATCATTGTTATGTCTTAGACTACTTAAAATCTGGGGTTCAAACGGAAGGTAGCAAATAAATTCAAGCCTGAATGTAGATTTTCTCAGGGGCAGATTGTTAGAACAATAATGCTTTAAAAAAAAAAAAACAGAAAAAAGAAGGAGCCTCAGCTAATGCTTTATGTAGTGGCTTCCCGATGAGATGATGTGGGTGGCAGATTGTTGCAGCTGCATTCAGCCAGAGGCAGGAACCTGTAGTGGGTCCCACCCATAGACAGACACACATGCACAGAAGAGAGAGAGAGATAGGGAGAAAAACTAAACTTGGAGCAGGAATTTTAGGAGGACTAGGGGACCATGACACTGACGGTTAGCATGTGGTTGATGAGCTCAACTTGTTTTTCACACCTTGCAATGTGCTGCTAGATCAGGGCTTTGACATCATCTCAGACATTGAGCTTCATACATATGCAAACAAACTTCTTTATATATTTATAATGCATTCAGGAAAGATGTGCAATTAAAAATGCTATACAGTTAAAGATCAACAGGGTTTATAAAAGTATTACAGCATCTGACACTCCTGTGGTTTTGAATAAAAAGTCCGCTGTTGTGTTTTTTTATATATATAAATGAGGAAGTGTAGAGTGAAATGTTAGAAAATAGTTGCTTCATGCAAGAAAGAGGAATAAAGGTCTTTTGTTACATCCTGGGAGGCTGTGGGAGTGTGTGGGCGTGGTGTTGTCTTCTCTCTCTCCTCCTCCTTCGTTCTGGCCCCTCCCCTTGTCTCTCTCTGCCCCTGCCCTCTCCTTTAGGTCACACCTGCTGCTCATCTGCTCTCATTACAACCAATTACCCTCAGGGGTGATATAAGCTGGAGAAGAGCGGTGTGGAGGAGGAGGGAGAGGTTTCTGGTGGATTTCCTCTGTGCTGGGCAGAGCGTGCTACTGGCTTAGGTGTGGAACAGCCTGCTGCGTATGACCAGCCTTCTGGTGTGTGGCTCTTTGTGAGTAGTGTTTAACTGAGCAGTGATTGCCCATGAGTGACGGCGGCCTTCCTTAGTTTGTGTGGCCTGCCTGGATATTGTTTGTTAGCAGCGTTGCTGTCTCTTTCTGTTGAAACCTTATTGTTGCTTTCTTTGTTGAGTGGTCATTACCACTTTGGGTTGACCTCCCTGATTTCTTATTATAGCAGCGGTGCTGTCTCCTTTTGTTGTTGCCATTTATATGATTATTGAGGTGTTTGCCTACAATAAAGATCTATTTTATGTTAAATACCTCTGCCTGGCGTTCTTTTCATTCCACCTGGATCTAACTGTTACTGTCCCCCACCCTCATCGCCTAGACTTATGTGGGGACGTAACAAAGTGGGGGCTCGTCCGGGATCGGAATGAAAGGAATTGGGTTGATTACAAGTGCGTACAGGTGTTTGTGTGTTGTGTGAAGGTCATTTGGCAACTGCTGCTCTCCCCGGCTAGCACAGGGGAGTGTCTAGCTGAGCATTTGCTCTTCCTTCGGACACTCGTTTTTTTGTTTTGCCTTTTTTATTTTCGGAGCAAACCCGGGTGGGGATTAATTCTCTGTTGGGGGTAGGCTTGTCGGTGCCTTTTGGCACTTGATGATTCGCCTTTAAAGTGGCCTCGAGCCTGGTACGCTCCAGAAGCTAGGACAGGCTAGATTCTGAGCAGGCAGGACTGGGGGGAGTGTGGGCTTTTCAATTAATGGTTGACTTTTTGACACAACACATTTCTCTTTCGCCTGTGTGTAGTTCGGTAGTGAAGGCATTGTGTGTGTGTGTGTGTGTGTGTGTGTGTGTGTGTGTGGCCTTTTAGTGGTTTGCTTGTGTTTTGGCAGGCCATTTTGGGTTTTCATGGCCACTTTTGATATTGCTGGGTTTACAGCAGAGCCGTCGCTTGCCCTGCTAGATGTTTGTAGGAAGAGGGATCTGCATGAGCTGGCTACACATTACGGGATCAGTGTCTCCACTGGTCTACGCAAAGCCGAGCTGAAAGCCGCTCTGGTGTCCGGCTTGTTGGAGAAGAGGGTGGTTGTAATGCAAGAACCTCCGAGCACACCCGGTCCGGCTGGACCAAGTGCGGCGCCTCCTGTTCAAGGCCAGGTCGTAGAACCAGCAGTGTCCACACCTATGGACCAGGGGTTGCCCGAGGGGGGGCCTATGACGCTGCCCCGTTTTGATCCACTCTCCATCCAGTCATCAGAGGGTTCTAAGCAGGATGCTAGGCTCAAAGTCCGTCTAGCTCGCCTCCAGCTGGAGAAGGAGCAGAGCGAGAGAGAGTTCCAGCTGAAGAGGGAGATAGAGCTTAGGCGTTTGGATGCAGAACTGGCTAGGGCTAGAGAGGTTGAGCTGATGAAAGTGGAGGTGGAGATGAAGGTCAAGCTGCGACAGCTGGAACTCCAGCAGGCCTCCCCCCCTCCTGTGGTGGCTTCGCTGTCACATACAGACGTTCAGTTTGATGTAGGAAGGAATAGTCGTCTGGTCCCTGCATTTCGTGACACTGAGGTGGAGATTTATTTTGAATCGTTTGAGCGGATAGCGACAGCCTTGCGTTGGCCGCGGGATGTGTGGGCCATCCTGCTACAGTGCAAGCTGGTGGGCAAGGCGCAGGAAGTTTGTTCCTCGTTGTCCGCTGAATGCAGCTTGGACTACGACAAACTGAAAAGTGCAATCCTGTTAGCCTATGAACTAGTTCCCGAGGCTTACAGGCAGCGATTTCGGGGGCTGAAAAAGGTGCAGGGTCAATCCTTCCTGGATTTCGCAAGAGAAAAGAGTATCCTCTTTGATCGGTGGTGTATGGCCTGTAAAGCTGCAGACCTAGCTTCGGTACGGGAATTGATTCTCATTGAGGAGTTCAAAAATTGCGTCACCGAGCGGATGGCGGTATATCTGAATGAGCAGAAGGTCTCTACGTTGCAGCAGACCGCGACCCTGGCTGACGAGTTCGCACTCGTCCATAAAACCAGTGTTGTTAAGCATGAGCGACGCGACATGCTAGCAAAGGCTAGTGGTGAGCAAGACACAAGGAGAGAGGTGCCTGTGCCTCGTCCCAGGTCAGACCGGAAATGTTTCTATTGTTTTAAATCCGGCCATTTAATAGCGGATTGCGAGGCCTACAGGCAAAAACAGCCAGTTTCAACACCACGTAAACCAAAAGGGATAGGGCTGATTAAAAACGCTTCTTCTGGTAGTAGACCACTTAGCACTGAAACGCCTGACGAATGTTTTAAACCTTTCATTTTCAAAGGAGCGGTGTCACTCTCTGGTAAGCCTGGAGATGGGCGTACTGTGACCATTCTACGCGACACAGGTGGTTCACAGTCCCTCATACTGGCTAGTGCACTTGCCTTTGATGAAAAGACCGCCAGCGGCACTGATGTTATTGTTAGGGGCGTTGGAATGACTTATGTGCCAGCCCCCCTCCATCAAATTTGGGTGCAGAGTGACCTAGTAAGTGGCATTTTTCCTGTAGCTGTGTGTCCTTGTTTCCCGATTGATGGTGTGGACTTCATAATGGGCAATGATTTCGGGTGGGTACGCCCAGTGGAGGCAAAAGTCGAGGCTATCCTCAGCTACCCGGCCCCAGCCACTAGGCGGGAGTTAAAACGGTTCCTGGGCATGACTGGATACTACCGCTGTTTTTGCAAGAACTTTGCGGTAGTTGTGGCCCCTTTAACAAGGCTATGTAGCCCCAAAGTCCCTTTTGAGTGGTCAGGGGAATGCCAGCACGCATTCGAGTCTGCAAAATCCCTCCTTTGCAGCGCCCCAGTTCTGGCTGCCCCTAACTTCTCTCAGCCTTTCAAGCTGGAAGTCGACGCCAGTACCACCGGAGCTGGTGCGGTGCTATTACAAGACGACGCAGAGGGTGTGTGTCACCCAGTCTGCTACTACTCTGTAAAGTACAAGCGCCATCAGCTAAACTATTCCACCATAGAGAAAGAGGCTCTAGCGATGCTGATGGCCTTGCAGCACTTCACTGTGTATGTGGGCTCTAGCTCCTTTCCGGTAACGGTGTATACAGATCACAACCCCCTCACTTTCCTCCAGCGCATGTACAACCACAACCAACGACTAATGCACTGGGCTTTGCTGGTGCAGGATTATGATCTGGTTATCTAGCACAAGAAAGGGACTGATAATCTGGTGGCTGATGCACTCTCACGCAGTGCATAGTGATGAGTTTCTTCTGTGTTTTGTATAGTGTGGATTTAGGGTGGGGGGAATGTTACATCCTGGGAGGCTGTGGGAGTGTGTGGGCGTGGTGTTGTCTTCTCTCTCTCCTCCTCCTTCGTTCTGGCCCCTCCCCTTGTCTCTCTCTGCCCCTGCCCTCTCCTTTAGGTCACACCTGCTGCTCATCTGCTCTCATTACAACCAATTACCCTCAGGGGTGATATAAGCTGGAGAAGAGCGGTGTGGAGGAGGAGGGAGAGGTTTCTGGTGGATTTCCTCTGTGCTGGTCAGAGCGTGCTACTGGCTTAGGTGTGGAACAGCCTGCTGCGTATGACCAGCCTTCTGGTGTGTGGCTCTTTGTGAGTAGTGTTTAACTGAGCAGTGATTGCCCATGAGTGACGGCGGCCTTCCTTAGTTTGTGTGGCCTGCCTGGATATTGTTTGTTAGCAGCGTTGCTGTCTCTTTCTGTTGAAACCTTATTGTTGCTTTCTTTGTTGAGTGGTCATTACCACTTTGGGTTGACCTCCCTGATTTCTTATTATAGCAGCGGTGCTGTCTCCTTTTGTTGTTGCCATTTATATGATTATTGAGGTGTTTGCCTACAATAAAGATCTATTTTATGTTAAATACCTCTGCCTGGCGTTCTTTTCATTCCACCTGGATCTAACTGTTACTGTCCCCCACCCTCATCGCCTAGACTTATGTGGGGACGTAACATCTTTGTATTAAAAAACTACAACTAAGATACTGAAATATATGAGTTGTTTCACCTACTAGGAAATCAGAATGACAAATGGAACAACATAGTCATCCATTGCGTGGCAGGTTTGTCAGCGAAACTCATCCCACGACCAGAATTCTCAAGCAAAAATACCACATTTTATGTTCAAAATTAAATGTCATGCACAGTAGCAGACGCATACAGGTTAGAAAAGTACAGCTGTAACATATGCAGTTTTAACTTTTAAGGACAAAAATACTACATGGCACAGATAAATATTTGTTGCTCAAACATCAAAACTTGACACTTGACGTAACAAGACTTAAGCAAGATGAGTGAAAAAGAGGAACAAAATATAACTAACTATGACCAGGAAGAGAACCCAGATAACTAAAACTAAGTGCAGGGAATATAAATTCAATTAAACTAACTAGTAATAAAATCTTTAAGTTAGCAAATACAAAACTCAAAATGCAACATCAAAAGAATACAATATACCAAAGTCACCCAAGCCTGGGGTTGTACCTCAGTATCTAGTGATTTATTTGTGTGTGACTGCTCCTGACATATGTTTCTAGTATGTTTGTATTTTAAAATGTTGTTATATTTGAAGCTGAAAGTTATTAACAATTATTTGTTAGCTCCCACTGACAATTTACCCAAAACCATGTGCTTTGATGATAGCACTTTACTGAGGTCGCAAGATTGTTAATCGGAGGTTTTTTCCCCCTTCAAAAACACACTTGGAGCAAAGCTATAACTAGGCTGAATAGACACTTGGTGTCCTGTATAATGCTTTCAGGTTAACCCTAGTTGTACGACAATATTAGATTGGTGGCGATGTCATGGATCGGCAGAATGATAGACCCACTCACAGACGGGTTTGTTCACGTGTGAATAGAAACAGACAAAGCAGCTGGTGAATCTCTAATGCAGGGGTGACAAACTTCAGTCCTCGAGGGCCGCTGTCCTGAAACTTTTAAATGTGTCCCTGCTGCAACACACCTGAATAAAATTAGTAGGTCATTAGCAAGAAATTATTGAACTCGACTGCATGCTGAGGTTACAACCTCTAACCCCAGGGTGTCGAACTCCAGGCCTCGAGGGCCGGTGTCCTGCAGGTTTTAGATATCGCCCTGGGTCAACACACCTGAATCAAATGATTAGTTCATCACCAGGCCTCTGGAGAACTTCAGGACATGTTGAGGAGGTAATTTAGCCACTTGAATCAGCTGTGTTGCAGGACACCGGCCCTCGAGGCCTGGGGTTTGACACCTGTGCCCTAACCCTACTTATGACTATTTGTTTGACATTTCTAAATTTGATTACCCTGAGCTTTGCTTTCTCACTTTATCTTGACTTTCTGTCTTTGTTGGAGTCTTGTTGGATTACATTTATTGTAATTGTAAAATTACAATAAATGTAATTTTACAATTACATTTATTGTAAAATGTAATTTTACAATAAATGTAATTGTTTGGAATAATTTACTTCTTAAAGCAATTTTATTGCACCACGTTCATTCACTCATGAGCTGCTGTGACATGAATCAAATGGCTGAATTGCCACCTCAGCATTCTTTCAAGTTCTAGTCTCTTGTTAATGACCTATTAATTTTATTCAGGTGTGTTGCAGCAGGGACACATGGAAATGTTTCAGGACAGCGGCCCTCGAGGACTGGAGTTTGACATCCGTGCATTAGATATTTGGGAATGGCGGTGAAAGTATTGAGGCTTTCCAAGTAAAGCACTGTTGTTTGAAACTCAGGGGGCTTGATACACACAGAGAGACTGATTATTCCACTGAAAGACAAACAGAAACTCATATAAGAAAGAAGCAGAGCACATATCTCACTGACACAATAATATGGCAACAGCTGAGTATCTGCTTCCGTCGTAATACTGAGCTTGATTAGAAATGGTGAAGCAGGTGAATCTGATCAGCTGATCCTCTACAGGAGAGCAGCCAATGGGGCAGCAGAGAAAATGAGTGGAGCTCATGTCCACACATGTCCACAAGCACACACACAAACACCAACAGGAGACAGAGAAAGAGACAAAAGCCAGGCCATCACAAGAGAAACTCGGGGACCACGTCAGGAAACTGTTGGGTTTATCTGGCACAACCTTGTTACCATGGAACTACATGGAAGACGAGGTATTCATGTCAGAGAACAGCAGCATTTAACTTGACAGTGGCACTGCTGCACTAGAGTCTGGATTGGCTCTTTCTATACCTGTGTGGGTTCTTTCAGAGTACGTCTGCTTCCTCCAAACATATGCATGTTAGGTCAATCAGTGATTTGCAATTCCCTGGAGCTGTGAGTGATTTTCTCTTTCCTTCTCTGTTGACTCTCTGATAGACTGGTGACCTCTCCAGGTTACACCCTGCCTTGAGAGGTTCAAGCCCCTCTGTGACCGAAGAATATGGAAATTTTAATCTACAGCAAATGGATGGATGAGTAGATGACTCACACTGGGCATGTTGTATTTGCACAAAAAGAACAGGATATAGACCAGTAAGAAATGATAAAGTAATCAAAGGGCTTTTACACTATGAAAGTTATTGAAAACAAAAGTCTACGGGTCTACTTCAGTTACTGAGTGCAATAACTTATTGGGTGTTCTTTCTAAGCTGAGACAGTCAAAACTTCATTAGAATATTATTATAATTTTAAATTGATGTACTGTAATTATTAGTGTTTTTATCTATTACCTTTGAATCATCATATCTGCTGTCTAAACACTTTCACAATCCTGCTCCTTTTTTAAAGCCAAGAATGAGACAATCTTTCTATTTTTATAAAATAACCAGATGATGTATTTGTTGTAAAACTGAACAAATAAACAAACAAATAAATACTGTATCACTGAGTGTGTTTGATGAACAAGTACCCTCATCAACACCCAAGGCATCAGCAGTTGCAAGACAGTAATCTGTGTATTTGTTGGTACCTCTGAAGATCAATATCTAGGCTCCTATTTTTAACAGTAGAGTAAATCCTGTAGTCAGACTGTACATATAATTATTATTTCTGTCTTTCTCTTCCCATGTACAGCTGTTCATGAACATTCCCCACTCTGAGCCATGTATGATCTGATAGCACTTAACTTACTTTAGTGTTTAGAACACAAACGTTCAAGTCAATTTGAATCAATTTTGTTTATTTAACAACAACTCACAATAATAGCCGCCTCAAAATGCTTTATTTTATAAGATAATCACCTTAAAATAAAAAGTCTGCTTTAAACAAGCACCTGGTAACAGCTGGGAGGAAGAACTAAATCTTACACTGACAGAAACTAAAATATGTGGATGATATCAGCCATGTGTGAATTAGATCTATCTGGAGCAATGAAGCGCAGAAACAAGAAAACAAGAAAAATTGTTTTTCAACAAACAAGACTGTAGATGTAACAATATTTGAGATTAAATATCTTATAGGAAACACATATTCATATAACACAATTGCAGCTCTCCAAGCAGCTTCCATAAAATAAAATTTAAAGTTGATCTTTTCCTAAAGCTGTTAAAAGAAGAAAAGCAACTTTATAGAAAAATGTCAAGTGATGCTTAATTCATGCAGGGGAAGAGAAACATGTATGGTTATCATACACATCAAATGATTTTAGAAACAATACAGGAAACATCTGTAAACATGCACTGCTCAAAAAAAATTAAAGGAATTATTTTTAATCAGTGTTTAGCATCACATCACTCAAATGTCTATCCTCGATGAAGTAGCAGAAAATGTAGTTAACACTAGGTACAGCAGGGTGAGACGATCCCTGGATGCTACAGAGGTTGTACAGGATGTCCAACTCCTCTAGGATGCCAATTCAGTGCATGCTCAAGAGTCTGTCACCCACTGTCAGACCCTATTGTGCTGTGGGTCCTGGGTTCCTCCTGGTATGATAATGACCACCCTCATGTGTTGAGAGTATGCAGGCAGTTCCTGGAGGATTACGGAATTGATACCACTGACTGGTCCCCACACTCGCCTGACCAAAATCCAACTGGGACATTATGCTTCTCTCCATTTGAAGCTGCCATGCTGCAGCTCAGACTCTCCAGGAGCTCAGATGCCCTGGTCCAGATCTTGGAGGAGATCCCCAGGACACCATTGACTCATTATTCATATGCTCCAAGATTGTCAGGCATGCACACAAGCACACGTTGGCCAAACTGACAACTGAGTATCATTCTGAGTTGATGCAATGAACATTTGACAAAATGGACAAACCTGCTGCATTATTTTGTCACTTTGATGTGTCTCTGCATTTAGCCCTCTGTAGGTTGTTGACTTTCATTTCCAAATGTTGTTTATTTTTATTTTTTTATTTGTTGTTTATTTATTGAGCAATCTAAATGTAAAAAGACTCTAAAAAGCATCCTGGTCTCAAAGCCAGATCATCAGTTGGTGCTATTATGATGAAAGAAAGTTTGTTTGACTTTATTTTATTTTACAAAACAGTGCATAATCTCATTTTCTCCAATGAGCTCTTTACTTCTAATGGAATTAACTCAGTCTTGTCACTGATCCGGTTGGTTTTGCAGATCTTGTTATTAATCTGAAAGAAATGGTGCAGCACAATTCAGTCATTAAAGGTGATTTAGAACTAAATTTACTCCCTAAAAACTTAAAAACTTTAGTATTTAAGTTCATCGTTACAGCAACATGTAAGCTATTTTATTTCTGCACAGTAACCCAGAGCTGTTTGTGATTTAACTTCAGAATAAACTGTTTCATCAGCTGCTGCAGGAGCTGGTTTTCCTGCAAATAAAGAAATGATTTGTCAAATGTCATTGCAAGTGCCTCTTTGTTCAAAGTGACAACTTGATTTATTTATACAGTTTTCCTTGGTGTGTAAAACATGTAAAGCCCAAAGCAAAAGAAATAAGGTACTTATTTTATTACATTACTTACCTTTGTGTCTCTTAGGTTTCGCTTTAGTGTAATAGACCTGTGCGTACAACAGGCTGTCATCTAAAAGAGGATGACAGATGAGCAGCATTAAAAAACGAGTGGCTTTAATTTCCTTTATATTTCTGTCAGTTAACACCTACAGTAACTCATCACAGGAACAGACTGAAGGAGATTTTCGCTCTATTGAAGACGAGATTTTATGACAACCTGTTACTGTTAAATCTCATTTCAGTGTCAGATCACTTCAAGCTTCCTCCACCCTGGTTATTAAGGTCAGTGACCCTATAATCCAATGATATCTAACTGATATCATTATAACCCTCTTAAAATTATGAAATAATGGTGTAGTCAATGAAGTCAAGAAAAAAGTTATATATTATATTACTTTACTCACCGTTGTCTTTCTTGGTTTTAGATCTATCGTGGGAGACCTGTGCATACAACACACTGTCATCTGAGAGAGGATGGACAGATGATCAGGATAAAAGGTTAAGTGTGTTAATTTTCATTACATTTATATATCTGTCAGTCAACAACACACTGATCATAGAAACCTATTGAAGGTCTATTAAAGATGAGATGTTTCTGTCATGTTTAAAAACCTTTTCTATGAAAACCTGTCAGCCCTCAAGTCAGTGTCACATCAGCTCAACCCTGCTCAGCATGACCCTTCCACTAAGCTCAAATCCAAACCTTAAGGATCACGGTTCACTTTTCCTCCATCTTTGCCATTCTATACTCCTGCACTACTCATACCATTTATGTCCTCTTAAAACAAGATAATGTGCTCTAATCAACAGACTCCTCAAATGTTTCTTCTAATCTCTTATCTGAAACAGCGCTGAAATTAATTCCACGTGATTCTTCTAGGTTAAAATATTAGAATAACAATAATAATAATGATGGTTAATACATAACTTGGCATAAGAAAAACGAAAACAAAACGTAATTACATTTAAAAAACAATTATACCAAAATAAAGAAAAAAATATTAATCTCTGAAATGTAAAAACAACCAAACAAAAAAAGGATATAAGCAAAGAGTTAAAAAATGAAGACATGAAGTTGATTACTGGTTGTTGTCTCATACTGTTAGTAGTGACAGGAACACCAGCAAAAAGTGAAACTAGAGAATAATCCGTCAGGAGGAATGAGATGGATTCATAAAACAGATTCACAGTGGTTTACGTTTTGTAGGACAGACTGATCTTAAAGTTGAACTGACCCTGTGTTACACTGGAAGGACCAAGTGTCCAACCTCTTTGTTTTCTTATCTGTGTGCAGCTGATTTCTAAAACTTCCATGTTTAAACACAAATAATCACATAGTCTTCATATATCTGTGCTACTGTATCTACTTTACCATTTTGTGTGTCATCGTGGTCTTTGATTGATTCATAAACACAAGCATCACCTACAAAAACAAGCCAATGATAGGTTAAAAATTGAATTTCTTATGTATGGGTTTGATTATCTTCTAAATCAGCAAACTAGAAACAGATAAATCGGACCTGGAGTTTAAAAATCGTCAGTAAATAAATTAATAAATACAACAACAACAACAAAACTTGTCATGGATCAGGCTGACCTTGGACAGTAGAGTTATGTCGACTGTGTTGAGCTTCATCCTTGATCATGTGGTTCATTGCAGAGCTCTGATTTGTGCTCCGAGTCCTGGTGGAACAAAAAAAACAAACGTAGTAAACCAATAGATTTAATAAGAAACACAGGATGTAGTTCTAGTACAGGAGAGGGGAGATTTGAACCAACCTGACAAAGAATGAATCTGTAAGAAAAGACAATTGCATTTTTTATTGTAACCTGTTGTGGTGCAGAAATATTACATTGAGCGTTCAGGATACATTTGTGATTTTTATTATTTACATCATATTCAGTTTAATATCAGATGGTTAATGGTCTCACCCTTTGACTGTTTGAAGCGACACAAAAGCAGAAGAAGAAGAAGAATCAGTAAAACTCCACAAACGAGTCCAACGATCAAAGGAGTGAGAAATGAAGAGCTTTCAGGTGCTGCTGTAATAATAACAGGTTTTAATTAGATGCATTTATACAAATTAGCAACATAATTCACATGGGAACATTTTAAAATATAGTATTATTTACAATGTCACTATTCCTAATAATAACTGAAAATATTCTATTTGTTTTACTATCATATTTCTCTGTGGTGACTATTCACCTGAATAGTGATTAAAAAAAAACTTTTGAATTTCACATCACCTGTTTGTCATTCCTTTATGAACAAAGGTCTTTAAACCAACAGCATATTTTGATTGATGCAAGTGGTGATAAATTCTGTGAATAGTTTTCTAATTCAAATACATAATGTCAGCTTTACAGAGACAAAAGTATATATCGCTATTTTATCAATTTGTATTTATACTTTAAAGCTCTGTGCTAATATGTTTAAGCTCAGAAGAACATTTACGTTTGTTTGCAGACACTGTGAATTTTTCAGTAATGATAATTATTATTATAATTATACAGCAGAGGATGAGTGAGCATAGAAGTAGATTCACATCTTCATCTATTCTAAGTATTGTATAAAAACATAATGAATACTGACAAACTGAAGTATTCACTCTAATCTGTTGAACCCTGGTGTGCACTCTCCCCTCACAGTTGTATTCTGCATCATCGGGTTTTAAAAGCATATTTAACTTCCTGAATTCATTTTTGTTGGAAGTTTGGTCGTTTTCTATTCATACATCCACTAAAGGTGTAAATGTCAGATCATTAACTTTTCACATTTTGTGTTTCTAGAAGAAGAAAAAAACTCACCCCTGTGATCAATCCTGACTGACTGGCTGTCCTCTGTGTAGTAAACTGGGTTTCCTCTTCCTCCTCTGCACCTGTAGAGTCCTTCCTGTGAGACACTGATTTGTCCATTTGAGTGGAAAACTGCATCTTGTATGGTCAGAGGTTCAGAGGAGTTCTCATCTCTGTACCAGTAGTATTTCCATCCAGATGATGATGATGATGAGTTCACAGAGCAGGTCAGGGTCACACTGCCCCCTACTGGGATGTCTCTCATATCAGAAGTTACTTGGGCCTGTGATTGATCTGCTGTTGAGTTTAAACAAAGACACAAAGAAAATATGAATATACTGTATACCCCACACACATGGGTTGGGATCACACTGCCCTGATGTTGTCTCCATTGATGTTACCTCTTGTAAACCTCCTCTCCAGTTTCCAACAACACATAGGAAGGAATAAGACTAAACTGAAATGATATGAGTAATCTTACAGATGTCTATAATGCATTTGATTCTTTTAGTGTTTATTTTTTTCTGTTTCATTATGATTCTTCTTTGGATTTATAAAATAATACTTGTGCTTATTCTGTGTGATTCCTTCTTATTACCACAACAGAAGACACAGAACTTATTTATGAGATTTTTTTCTAATTTCAGACTTTCATAAAACATTTTCATTTGATTAGAATATTTTTTCATGGTAAGTTTGCTTTGATTAGGAAATACTCTTCTTCCTACATGATCAGAAGAAACATACCAACATATCTCTCTATCTATAAACCTCCTGCTGAACACATACACACTGATATCAAAAACTCACACATCACTGTTTGTTCCATCAATACTACAAAATGTATAAATTTATCTACCACTGCTCATGCAAAGTTCTCAAATAAAGTGTGTGAAAGCATCAATTTCATGACAAAAAAAGAAAGAAGAACATTTTTCACACGGTTCACCTCAGTTGGCAAAACAAACCAGTCACTAAAAATGTTTATTGATGCAACCAAATCACTCTCTCTCTAGGATGCCTCACCCCACAGTAATGCAACTGAACCAGGAAAATATTGCATTACTCCTTGTAATCACAAAGAAAACTAGTAATTAAAGAAAAAACATTAATCTTACTATCTCTAAATGTTGGCTAATTTAATATCGCTAATAACATCCTCAGCCCACACATTTAGTCCACTTTGTATTTCCACAGACATCACCTCAGTGTTTGTTTGTAATAATAAATTTTTCCACCTTGTCAGTTTTTTTCTGTTTTTGTTTTTCTGTCAGTATTGTCCTCAGGTGATGGAGCAGCAGGTCAGCATTGGCGTCTCTATACCAGCTGAAGGTTCATGACACAAAGTGGTGACAAACTGTCTACAATGAGGCTACTATCAGCTGCAGCTCTTTGTCTGACTAACAATGTAACATGCTTTGTAGACCATTGAATTCATCCTGTGCTGACCATGATGACATTTGTCAAATGGAGATCACACAACAAACATGACTTACTTGATGCTGACAATGTGAAGGCTTCACTCCACTCTGTTGAAGAATATGAGTCATCTCTGCGTCGACTCTTACACATGTAGTCTCCACTGCTGGACTCAGAAACTCTGAATGTCACATCATTATTGTGTGTCCACTGTGTGGGTGTCCTGGGTCCTCTCCATTCATACCACCACTCAGTGGTTTCACCTCCTTCCTGCACCTCACATGTCAGAGTGATCGTCTCACCTCTGAATATCTGAGGCCAGTAAAGTTGTTGTTTTACAACAACTTTATTGGAAACTGTTCACACATATTAACAGTTTAGATACAAATAGAAAAATGAAATCAACACAGAAAACTTAAAATTGTATGTTTGATAATCATGTGTGAATGTATATTTCAAACTAAATGACTGAACTCACTCTCAATGGTGACATCATAACTCTCATAAGTGTAGTAAACTGGGTTTCCTCTTGTTCCTCTGCAGCCGTAGATTCCTCCTTGAGATACTCTGATATCTCTGTTTTGTTGATCTCTGATTTGACCTTCATAGGTTGTTTGGGTTCGTCTGAACCACTCATATTTCCATCCATCAGAGCTCTGCACAGAGCAGGTCAGTGTCACACTGCCCCCTACTGGTATGATTGTTGTTCCTGCTGTCAGTGTGGCCCTGGGTTTACCTGCTGTTATCAAAAAGACGAAAAGAAAACACAAAGCCATTGAACAACATTTTAAAATATGCTTTCATTTTATTTAAATTCCAACTTCCAAGAAGAGATGTCTTTGCTGAGCACGCATCATTCTCAGGGACTCCTCTCATCCTGCCATTAAACTCTTCCAGCTCCTCCCCTTCAGCTGACGCTACCGGACCCTACAGACTAAAACCAGCAGGTTTATGAACAGCTTCTTCCCCACTGCTGTCACCTTACTGAACTCAGTCCCCAGCTGAACCTTTCCATCCACACCCACTTATCCCTCCTAATGACCATGATCATGACTGTCATTCATTCTCAACATTCACCATATGCTTACATTGGTTACTGCTATAGTTTAGGACACTGAATCAGTATAGTCTCTGGTATAGTGCGTACACTGTTCACTATTATAGTCTATTCAGAGCGGTATGCTTCCACTGTGAATATATTCATAGCACTCTGTAGATCTGTTTACCATATGTAGCACATCTGTATATATTTAGCAAAGCTTTATATTTGTTCATAGTACATCTGTATTTCTGCCCGTCTGTATAGCAATATAGAACATCTGTATACTATATAGATCATCTGTATATCTGCTCTCTCTGTACATAATCTGTTCATAACTATCCCACCATTGATTTATACTACCCTTATCTGTGCATAATTGCTCCCATTTTTTAGCACTTACTACTCTTGCACTCTGATCACATGCAAACTGTATTTCCTTACCCTGTATTTATAGATGTGTAATGACAATAAAGTTGAATGCTAATCCTAATTTAAATTTTTTTTTTTAATACAGTTTAAGATCATTTTAATTTTTTCTAATGTGGTGAGAGAGCTACAATTTTGAGGTTAGTCGGGTAATTCAGGTTGTAGATCTCTAAATAAGCACAGTACAAATGTTTGTCCATTCTTTGGCCTGAAGAAGTCACACTGAATGTAAACTAATGCAGTTCACTGTTGAAGGAAACACACTGATGGGTTCAGAGGGATCTGCCTGGTTTCACATTTAGATAACAGAAACATCGTCACCTTAAATTATGTGGAGATTTGATGTTTCTTTTTTTTCATTATTTAAATTAAATTTCATCCACAGTTATTCTTGTTATACATTAAAACATGCACATGTTGTAATGACAAAAAATATATTGTCTGAGTATTTTGGTTGTAGTGTGTACTGTGAACAAAGTTAGGTAAAATGCAAGGATCTTTGTTAAAGTTTAAAGTTTCAATACATCAGAAATAAAATAGTTTCAATGAAACATTTATTAAACACATATATTTTTTTATAATTCAGATGTATTTTAACTGGAATCATCACATTATTAATCACTGAGGACTTACCTAATACAGTTATAAAGACAGTATTACTGTTCTTTGTATAATCTGACCACTTTGAGCTGCCATAGCACTGGTATTTACCACTGCGATCTGTAGATCTCATTTCCAATGTGTAGTCTTTGTTCTCCCTGTAGGGGACATAGTCTCGACCATCCTTCTTGATTGCATAATACCAGTCAGTGTGTCTTCCTTCATTCATGTCACACTTGAAGGTAACAGACTCTCCAATGAAATAACTGGACGAGCTGGGTTCAATAGTTAGCACAGCAGCTAGAATCCAACACAAACAAACAATCAGACAACAGACAATCTGAAACACTTATTTAATGCTCAAGGCAAGACATTGATTGATAACACTTTATTTATATTCACACAAAATGAAAATACAGTGATAAATCAATAAAAAGAAACACAAATAGGATCTGCATTAGAGTCATACAGGTTGAGAATAATCTTTGCTAAATAAAAAGGAAGAAATAGAAAAAGGAAAACTGTTCAGTCACCTTGAGCGTGTCCACTGCAGAGGAGCGTACAGAGCACTACAATAAAGACAGAAACTTCAGATATTATCAAACTAAAGACACCAAAATGAAACATAAATAAAAAGCTGTTGGTAATGATGTGTCTCATTTCTTGAGGCACATGATCAATAGTCAGTTAATGACCTTCTTAAGGAACAATCCCACTAGGGTTTAAAGTCCAGTCGCTTTCTTACCAAGCTCCTTAAAACACTTGGAGATTTTCAATGTCTACTATGATCTGAGTCAGTGCACTGAAATCTAATCCAGTCAACAAACAAACATGGTGAAAAAAATCTGAAAAATTAATGCCATTGACAAATTGCAGTGAGTCACTTCTGTCAACAAGAATTTGTCTAGAAGGTGATATTTGTTGATCAACATTGACATATTTTAACTAATTTATGTGTCTTCTACATTTAAACCTGCCTATTGGGAGTTTGTTTTTTTTTAATCTCCATTTATGGCTGGACGAGCTCTAATCTTCCTTTAGGAAGCAACTTTCATTTAGTAAGGAGTAGGATTACCTGGACTAAGGAAGCAAATTTCTGTTAGTCTGCATTAAAAGGCCTATTTTTAAATCTAGCACTGGCTTTAATTACTGCCTTTATGTGTTTAATAAAATGTAACCATGATTGGTTACATTTTATATTACGATGTAATAAGCATCAAATTATCACTGATGGAGAAACAAACCTTTCTTAGATAAACTAAAGCAGCTCCACTCTGATCTGAGTCAGTGCACTAAAATCTAATCCAGTCTACAAACAACCACGTTGGTAACAAACATGAGAGTCCTCTGATCACATGACCTGCAATGGTCAAATGACTGATGCTCTGTTCTTCTTACTAAAACATGTTTATGGATCAGTATGAATCAAACAATAGAAGTCAGTGATGTACTCACAGAATAGGCCCAGCTCACAGAGCAAAGTGGCTCCCATCCTCACATCCAGCAGTGACACGTCTGAAAACGTCTACAACTTTCTGTGAAGAGAGAGAGTGAAGCAGCAGCACAGCAGATACCAAAGAGTTGTGAAGGAAACAATGACTTTTTAATACTTCTTCTTTCTGCTTCCTTCCTTTTACACAGAAATAACAACTTAACATAGTCTGACCACCACATCATGTGATACATTTATACTCTCCTGCAGAAACATATCAGGAAGATTTTTATCAGAATGGCTATAAAAAATATATATATATACTGAAACTAAACAATAATAGCTTGACTGAGTGCCCAAAATGAGATTTAACTGTGAAGTACTTTAGTTCATTTTACAGCCCAGAAACACAACGAGAAACATTGTTCAGATTCAGATTGCTAACAAGTATCTATCAAGCATTAGATATTAAAGTAACAGCGACGGATATTTTGTTGCCTTTGTCTGCTGCTTGTATGCTTGGTTTGATTATTATGAGCTTTATCACCAGTAATAATTACCCTCATAAACACTACATGTATACATCATTCAGATCGTTTTAAACTGCAGTAGATGCATAAATGAAGACAACTGATTAAACACAACCAAGACAATAAACTTTTACCATTCCCTTCCTGTCACAGATGTAGTCATTGAGTTTGCTGCTGCTCCTTTACAAGGAGATGACGATACACTAAATATTGATGCACAAAATCATTACATTGCTTCAAATATACATTAAATAGATTTGAGGTGAGCCCCCATACCAGCTGATAAACAGAGATGTCATACTTACTGACAGCAAATGTTCACAGCAGATGTTGGTAATCCACACACTTTCCCACACAGCAGTGAAATCAAGAACTGACAGTAATTTTATTTTTATTTCATTAAACTAATGCAGAATCCTTTAACATATCTTTCCACTGTGGTGACATCTTAGATTAGTCATAAATTTACTCACAGAAAGTAAGCGTGCACAGAAAGAAATGTGTCCTTAACCAGAAGTGACCGTGAGACCAGATGAAGTCCTGCCCCCTTTCTCAGCTCCTCTCTGTTTTCTTAGAAGTAGTTGTAACTGCTGTATTAATAAATAACGACAGTGCCTTTTAGCTTCACTTAGTAACTAAAAAGCACACTTACACACTTAGTTACTCATTTCCATGGCTACATTTTTAGATAGCAGAGCACAGCTGCAAACAAAGCAGCTGTTTATATACTTGAATGTGTTTTACAGAATTAACGGTGTAAGTCAAATAAAGGAAGCAATAAGAGGAAGCAAGCAGTTCAGCAAGGCAGAGTTAGCATGGCAATCTGATAACGTACAGTTATTGGTGAAACACAATTGTGCTTCCTGCACCCTTTACTTCATAAGATGGTGGACTCCAGCTCGTATTGAGGCGATTTGCTGCTGAGTGTGAAGAGGAGGGAATGAGAATCAGCACCTCCAACTCTGAGCCATGATTGACACTGGATAATTGTTGAAGTCATAACTGTGGTTTAGGGATGAGTTCTGGCCCAAAGCACAGGATTTTAAGGATCTTGCGGCAAGAGTGGAGTGGGAGATTGGCAGGTGGATTGGATGATACTGTGTGACATATGCAGTGATATGGATGCAGGACCAGTGTGGTGTAGTGAAGTGAGAGCTGAGTGTGAAAGTGAAGCTGTCTGTTGGCAGGTTGATTTATCTTCCTACCCTTGTGTGGTCACAAGCTCTGGGTAGTGACGGAGAGAATGAGACGGAAGACATTAGCTTCCTCTAAAGGTGCAGT